ATCCCTCTTTTCACTATTTTTAGTTTCCTACTTAGCTTTATATCTAGTTAATAATTCTTTGCTGGCTGGGTGCAGTGGTTTACGCCTTTAATCCCAGCACTTTGGGAGGCCCAGATGAGAGAATTGCCTGAGCCCACCGGTTCAAGACCAGGCCGAGCAACTTGGTGAGAACTCATCTCTACAATAAATTTAAAAAATTAGCCCAGTGTGGTGGTGAATTAGCCGGGTGTGGTGGTGTGTGCCTATAGCTCCAGCTGTTTGGAAGGCCGAGGTGGAAGGATCGCCTAAGCCTGGCAGGTCGAGGCTGCGGTGGCCGTGAGAGTGCTACTACACTCCAGCCTGGGTGACAGAGTAGAACTCCAACTCCAAAAAACAAATAAAAATAAAAAATAATTCTTTGTTAAAAATCTATTTGCAAATAACTGGTGTGGTTTTTATTGCCTGTCTGGAAGCTGACAGTTAAATGAAATTAGTAAAAGTTAAAGTTTTTATAAAACTTAAGGAAGGGATGGAGGGGGAAAAAAACTTAAGGAAAATTACAACCAAGTGAAGGCAACACATAACTTAGTCATAACTTTAATCACTCTCAGCTCTTATATATTCTATCTGTGCTATATTAATTTATACTTGTAACTCTGCCCAAGTCATTTCAAATGTAAGAGGTTGTATTATTTGGGTCCATGATCTCTCGCTCTTTTTTTGGCTTTTAACAAGCTTAACTATATAAGGTGTAGTCTTTTAAGTGAAATACTTCATTTGGTGTGTGGTTATAGTTATAGATATACTGTAAGATAGTTATCTATCTAGTCCTAGGAGTGACCTGAAAGAACTGAAGTAGTCTGTACATCTAGGTAATTCACTCCTTGCCAGAAGAATTGTGATCTAGGGATTCTCAGAAAGCAGCCTAAAAAAAAAACCAGAGTCTGATGATTCACTCTAATATGCCCATGGGTGGTAAGCACAATGAAGAACTTGTTGAGCAAACCCAAGGAGTATTCTACCACCAGGGCATCACTTCTTAGAAGGCCATCATAAACAAGCCTTGGAGCTACAAGAGAAGTGCATGTTTCAAGTATCAAGAACCAGAACTCACAGTCTCAGGTGTAATCAGGAAAGGCAAAAAAGCCTGCTAAATACAGCTCCCAATTTCTCTCTTCATATATTTTGAATTCTTCCTTTTGTTTATATCTGATGTGCCCTTTAAGTCATGTTCAAGTTAGCTGCAAAATTATAGCTCTAATAACACAATCATATTCTGCACATTAGAACTTTGTCATTTGCAATATATAGTATATGTGAAAAATGTTTGAGTAGATTCCAAATCCACTCACATTATCACTGGATATTTCCACATTATATTTACCAGTGGGAAAAAAGTAAGAGCTATTGATAATTTATACTTGATTATCAACAAAAATTATCAATGATAATTTATACTTGTACATTTCGAATGGTTGTAAAAAGTTTCTGTCACCTACTTGTATTAACTAAGTTCTCATCAATAATGACTATCAAGAATTTGAAGGAATTTCTGTTAAACTGTTTTGTTCAAGAACTGCAAGCAGTTATTTCAATCATAAAACCATGCATATGAAACATTATATTTACAAAAACAATCTCAGGTTTTTCATTAAATTTTGGAGAAGACTTTATTTTTCCCATTAAAAGTACATAACATAAAGTAAACATTTTTTTCACCATGGCCCATATAGTTGTCTCCAAATTCCCTTTCATTTATCCCAGTGTGTTGTACAAATATTATTTCTATTGATGTCATGATGTGTATATTTTAAAAAGGTTGAGAACCACTGCTCTGATCTTTAGATCAGGATTCTTAGCCTGAGGTACCTTGATAGATTTTAGTGGGTGTAAGAAATATGCAAGAGCATCTTTCTAGAGAGATCAGTAGTTTTCATCAGGTTCTCAAAGCTTGAAAGCCAGGGATTTAAAGTTCTTCTATAATTCACCCTGAAGAAATATGATACAATTTAAGGGTTAAATGAACTTCAGTGGTACAACCAGGCTTCAATACCATAAGTGGGAAGAGTGAAGATCCTATAAATGGAACCAGGAGGTCTTTTGTCTCTACAGCTTCTTCCTTAGGGGATTCAGATCTTGGTCTTTCTTCTCAAATTCACCTAGCACAGTAAGAGGATCCTAGGATCTTCACTCAATTAGAAGTAGATACCTCCTCTCTCAGATCACCAAAAGATCAAGCAGAAAATAGGGTGGAGTCCGGGGAAGAGCAGGGCAGAAAGCATGGATTTCATATTGTCACTGTGATCAAGTTCTGTTCACAAAGAAACTATATTGAAATTTGCAGACAAAGTCTGAAAGCCAATATCATAAAGAGCATATTTTCCCAGACCTTCTACTTTGTATCTCTATAAAACTTTATACATATCTTATACACATCTAGACTTCTATCTATTTATATATTTTCTTTGGGGCCTGCAGAGGTGACAGAAGCCACAATACTATTAAACTATGCTGTAATTGTTGATGCATTTTTCTCTGCTAATAGGCTATGAGTCTCTAAGAGGTAGATAAACATTTATTTTATTCTTAAAAGTGTTAGTATATAATACACATTCAATATTTTCTATATTAATGGTAAATAAATTAGTAAACATGCATCAGGAACTTCCAAATCTTAGTTTCCTTAAAAGGTAATATGCCAGGAGGAAATATTTCCCCTGTAAGTTAATAAATTAACTTTCTGATACAAACAAAAAATGTGAATTTGGGTATCTCAGAGCCCAATTTTGATCAGGATTTTATCGCCTTAGATATGCAGAACAAAAATAGGGTTCTATAGTAACCTACAGATGAGACATGTCTTGACCACTAATCTACTTCTCCTACTATCAAGAAAAGGAATATATCATGGTCTTTTGTTCTTTTCATTCCTTTTTTTCTTGAAGCTATTTTCTGCACATAGAGTACACTCCAAAAAAAAGTGACTGAACAAACTTTAAAGTATAAGAAAGACAGCTCAATTACATACAGGGTTTTACAGTTGATACTTTATCATGCACTATTTAAAGAACACTGTGAGTTATGGTTCCATTTTAGAGATGAAGGAATGAAAGCTCAAAAAGTTCAAGCCATTTGCATAAGGCTTTACAGAGCTGGAACTAGAAACTTCTGACTAGAACTAAAGTCTTCTGACTCCTATGGCAGTGCTCTTTCCCACTGTAAGATTAATGGACTTAAGTCTTTCATCTTCCTAAAGAATTTCTTAAAGAGTATGTTACCACACAAAAGCAGATAATCAGTGTTGTCATTCCTGAGTCAGTAAGCGAATCATCATACAAATATATTATTAAGATCAATGGACTTGAATAATACTTTTTCTAGAATGATACTTTGGTTATAAACCACATATATTTCATCTATTTGAGTTCATTTGACTTTCAGTCACATATTTCTCAGCTATGTATATAGATTAATAGCTTCCTGTTTGGTCTCTCATGCTTTAGTTCAAAGTTCTTACTTCTGAACCTTGCCTTCTCTTTTCCTGTTTTCTGAAGAGCTCTGGGGAAAACAGTCAGATTGTTTAATCTGTGAACCATACATCTTTGTTTAATTTTGTGTCACAGACATCCTTGATGACCACCAGGGGGCAAAAGCCTCCAGCTGACTTCTTTGCAATACACTCTATATAGGACTGTACAGTACAGGGACCCTCAGTGTCTGATTCTTGATGGAACCTCCCTGCTAATTATTTCAACCACAGGGCCCCAGGGAGAGAACAAAGACTCAGCACAGAGGGCTCTTGTGGCACTTAACCGTACAGCAGCCAGAAAGAGCTCATGACAGCCCTGTCAGTTTAAAAGGAGCAATGAGATCCAAGGGTGTTTGAGTGACAAACAGGAGGAGGTGGATTTTAATCACTGCAAACTCCTGTGTGTGTTTTCTCCGGCTTTGATATGTATGGTGGTATTTACCAGCTCATCCACTCAAAATTGAGCAATAACTTTGTCAATTCTCTTTCTTTGTGTAAATAATCAACGGTATTTGCATCGTGCCACTCCCCCCCCCTTTTAATGTTGATTTTTCCATGACATTCTTGGCTTATGTTCTGCCGACAGTTTATCTTTTAGAAAAGTATTCCCTTAAGATATTTTGTAATCTACACAGGACTATGAAATAATGAAATCTAGAGACGAAGGAAAAGAAAGCTCAAGGAGCAAATTCCGTTTAATTAATAGTATTTCTGCACAGCAAGAAGCAAGTGGGCAGGATATAGCAGGTGGGACCCTTGCAACTCTGGGAGCCCAGCTTTCTCGGACTCCCAGGCTCGCTCAGCTTCCCTCACCTCGGGAATATTGAATGCGTCTTTAGATAAGTAACCGAGGACGCATGAGGGGACCATGAAGCATTCCGGGGTGTAAAACTGAAAATGGTTCTTGAAAGACTCATCATAAAACATGGACGGAAGGGTGGGAGAGCTCAGAATTGGCCCCGGAGAACCGGGTCAGGGGAGGGGAAGTGGGGGTAAACTGGTCTTCTGGTCCAGCCCGTCCCATCCACGCCCAGTGAGAGCGTTTGGAACCCCGCGGAGCCTTTTCCCACCACAAAACGAGTTTGCCGTAGGATTTGCACCTCGGTTTCTTTCTCTAAGGTTGGTTAAGCCGTGCGCCCCACCTCATAAAATGGTCGTCCCTCAGGAGTGAGGACTCCAGCGGTCCCCCGCCCTGTGGCTCCCCCATCACCCGCTGGCACCCCTCGGCCGCTTCCCCACGCCACTGCACCGCAGCCCGCGCGAGCAAACGGCGTGATGCCAGCGTCGGGGAGGGCACCCGGGAGGGGGCGGCGGCCCGAGGCG